GCTAATTTAACAGGCGCTCAAGATTGACACCTGATCCTCCACTCTACGGGGGCGGTCTACCCTTACGACGCTGGCCATTGTCCTGCGCATTAGTGTTAGCCACAAAATCGGAATTACTATCCGCTTCACGCTTACCATTGTTCCCATGGCCCACCTGGTTATGTTGCTGCCCTTTCGCACCGCCGTTCTTCTTTCCCTTCCCCGGCTTCTCATCATCAGACTCATGATCCTTGGTACTATCAGAATCGGCATATTTAACCAAAGTTGCCATAAGTGTTCCCTTGTCATTGCAGTGACACTTGAGTCGTCCCAACTTCAACTTCAGCGGCTTAAACCGGCAATTGCCCTCCAATGTTATGACTACTGAATCAGCATTGATGCGGCTCGATGAATGCAAGATCTTTGAAACCCGGCGCATCCAATGGGTTGTTGATTCGCCTTCTTCTTCGACACAGGCAGCTAAATCCACAATTGACATGGGTTGTTTGCATGTGTCCTTGAAGTTTGTTATAAATCGGGCCTTTAACTCAGCCCATGACCCAATGGAGTTAGCCGGCAAACTTTTCAGCCAAGTGCGAGCCATTCCATCCAACATCATGGTGAAGTACTTCGCGCATGCCGCTTCATCCACATCCAGCATCTCCATTGCCATCTCATAACTTTCGACCCATGATTCGGGGGTTAAATCAGCAGTGTAGTTGGGCACCTTACGCGGACCCTTGAAATCCTTGGGCAGCCGCACATTGCGTAGGGCCGGGGTGAGACACGGCATCCCCCAAGAGCTGGAAGCAAGACCTCGTTCCACTGATGTCGTCGGACGAACCGGAGTAAGCTGACGGTCCACATATTGTGCCGCTAACTCGGCTTCTCGATGCGCTCTACCATTATCCACCACGTCCTGAGCATTTGCACCACCGCGCGCCGGATTAGGCCCTCAAGGGGCGTCACGGTTTCGTGCACTGCTTGACACAGCCGGTGCATCAATGTGCCTGCTGTAACTCCTACTCAGGCGAGGGGTTGAATGAATTCTGTCTCGACTATACGAATAAGCCTGCTGCTGAACCATAGCCGTTTGAAGGAGATCTCTGGCCCGCCGCGTCTCAACGCCGCTGGAGACTCGCCTTCCATTGGAATAGCTGCCAACCACGATGCCACAGCGATCATGTTATCCAAAGGGGTGGAGAAGTGAACCGGCGGTGTCGGCATGTACTGCGGCGGGTCATGGGTCCGTCGAGGCTGGTCCGTCACCCGTGGCTGATCCGGTACTCCTGTCCCTGGTGCTTCAACCCGGTTCCCCGCTGCTGGATTACTGGTTCCTGCTCCTGGCGTGTTGAAGAGATTCATTGCTTCATAAACCGGTGGCAGACGAGACTGATGCCTCCTCCTCAACACATCGTTTGAAGCGTTCTGATCCAGAATGAGCCGATAATTCTCTGTCTGAATCCGCTATGCCTGAGCATCTAAAGCGGCCCGCTCATCAGCCATCCTGGTTTCCTCAGCCGCCAAGTCCTCCTTGGCCTGAGCTATCTGACCTCGCAGCTTCGTGACCTCTGCGTTATGCTGATCTTGAGTCTCTGGGGTAACCTCTGTGGTCAGTAATGTCGTCCAGGCGTCCAATAAACTGGACAGGACTTGATCCGGCCGGCGTGCGGGGCCTCCTGCCTCGGCTGCCGATCCGGAAATCATCGCTGCTGCAGTTGAGGAGTGCAACGTGGGCTACGTACCGGCCATGAAGATCGCAACCCGGTTCGGCGGTTCAAAGGGGACGGAATACAGTCGCCATCGGAACAGCCCCCAAACAGGCCATCTTGCAGTTGGTACAGTGACTCGGTCTCACCGGTGGATGATTCGCCATCAGAATAAACGACCGTCTCACCGTCGGACACCGGTTCAGACTCCGCACCATTGATGAATCCTACGAATGCACGCTTCATGGCAGGCTGAACCCGGGCAGGGCTTGCATGCTGAGCCGTCTTGATGAGGTCGGCGCAGATGTCCGGCTCAGGGCCCGGTTCACTGATCTTGCCAATGAAGACGTGAATTCCTCCAAAGGAGGACCCGGTACCCGTACTCGATTGAGCCGGCGTCGTGGCCCCAGCCTGCGTCGTCGATGTAGAGCTTGCCGCGATGACTCTTGGTCATCCGGCCCACAGCGTATCCCTTGAGTCCTTCGAAGTTGTCCTTTAAGAACTCGAAACCATCGTGCGAGAGCCCTACGGTGGGCGCCAACTGTTGTGGAATTATCACGTCAGATGTCCTAGTGTGAGGACTTAGTCGTGGAGCCATCGCAACGAGATTAGCTTAAAGGGGTTAAACCGGACAAAGGACACGGGGAGTTTATACTGGTTCGGCCCCTTGCGGTGAAGGTAAAAGCCTATGATCCAGTTGTGGTGGAATTGATGGGGTCTCGATGAGCAGGAAGCGAATCCGCTTTACCTATCTCTCGAGTTGTTGTTTCTTGTCCCTTAAACGCCACCGGGTCGTCCCTTTATATACACAGGTTGACGCCCGGCGGTTTACAGAATCCCGACGCCGGCTCATACACGTGTCCGGCTCGGTTTCTACCCTTTCCCATCTTACAACACAAGTTACATAATACGTGGCGGTTTATGTCTACGGGCCCTAATCCGCCTTTGGCCCTGGGCCTCTAGCCTCTTCAGTAAAGCGTCAAATATCTTGTCTTTATGGGCTTCAATACAGATGACTCCTTATGAGTATAACCTGGCCCCTCCTGGGCGATTTATACTCAGTAGTTATATCCCCAACACGACGCAAACCGATCTTATATCCGAAAAACCAAAAAGAAAAACGTCGATCAAAATGACCGGCGGGAGAGAGAAAAATCTGGATCGAAGGATCGGGAAAAAGACTCACTAGGGCAGCCGGTCAATACGACCGGCGGACGAACCCTAGGTACGGACGGTGCAGCCCCCGGTGGCGGCCATAGAGACCGACCGTCTCGGGGGCGGCACGGAGTGGAAGCGGCGACGACGGCTAGGGTTTGGATCGATTAGGCTGATGCTATGTTAGAAGAGGTGGAGAGGGATTTGACGGAATCGATGATGTATTGCTTGGGTCTCGTAGGCATGTATATAGGAACAAGACAGCCAGAATATTTCCTAGTCTATTTTACGTTTCCAATCTAATCATGATACCCAACCCAATTGATAGTACAACACGGGATCTACCGCAAGAGAGAGTTATGCATGTCCATGACTGCCTACATATGGCTCCAAACAGCAATGGAGAAGGGGTCGTCCTTGTAGATGTGCTTAGCGGTTTCCGGCTCCTCCAGGCACAAGTGGCATCTCGGATCATGCGACCAACAGTATGCTGACCAGATCTTCGCCGGCGAGAATTTGGGGTGGGATCCGTGGGTTTGAGCCGTGTAGGCCAAAGCCAAGGAGTAAATGTCATCGGATGTCCATTCCAAGATATTCGGTCCTCCTGGCTTGGAGCAAGGGCGGTTAGGATAGCATCGTCCAAAGGTGGACAAGTCACAGAGCTGAGCCGGGGAATGAAGACATGCAAGGATAGAGATCTAATTCTCATCTTCTAGCTCCTTCATATTCGTCCTAATATTTCTGGTTGCGATCTTGAAGAGCTCGGGAGCGTAGGCCTTGAGGAGGTCCTTACTGCTCCGGTTGTCATGCCAGAATAGCAACTTCACTCCATTGCTGATGGTGATGGTGGTCGATGCCCTAAATAAATCCATGTTGGCGGTGGAGGCCAAGTTTGGCCGGTGATCTTGTTCATTTTTTTTAGAAAAGGAGGATGACCCCTGGCCTCTGCATATGATATGGGAGATACATGCGGCCACTTTATTGATTATTTTCGAGGTCCTTACAAAGTATTACAACACTATGCCTGAATCCGCCATCTTGGCAACATATGCCACTACTTCTATCCAAATGATAAAGGCGTGTTAGCTGGGCCACTACCCAGACCACTCATCTAAGGCTAACATCAAAATGATGAAGGGTGCTAGCTGGGGGTGATCTTGTTCATGGCCCTTAATCAATCATCCCTTGTATGCTTTTTCGGGCTAGTTTTCTGCATAAATCAAGCCAATATATATATTCTTCTTCAGGAGCACGGCGAGGTTCCGTCAAAAAAGAAAAAGTACATCATGAGATCTAGAGTGCTCAATTTCAGCATGGGAAAACCCCATGTCAAATTCGACAGCAGCTAGATCCCAGATGTAAACAGACGTATATTTCACTCAAAGAAAATGATGTATATAACTCTGCTAGAGAGTGGTTTTCCCATCCAAAGGCTGATTTGTAAACACTTGCTCTTCCATGAGAAAGATGCATGAACCAGAGAGCACTCCAACGTTATGACTGCAGTTGCACATATAAAAACAATACATTGTCGTCCATAAACCTTCTGTCTGAAAGAAAAAGCTGAGCAAACTATGGTATACCCCTGTCTCAAGATAATTGATTTTGGGGAGTGATATGCTACTAGTTTCTGGTAGCATCAGCTCTACGTTTTTGGAGACAAAATAACAATAGCAACCAGTGTAAGATGCACACTGGAGACCAAACTAGTAAAACAAGGAGAAACTGGGGCTATGCCACCTCAATCGAGAAGGCACAAACTCTTCTGTAATTCTGTTTGTGATCTTACTCTATTTCTATCATAGTAACTTTGTACTGTTTGAAATCATCTCTCCATGGCCTGAATTGGTCGTGATGCGCAATATTCTACAAAGGAAGGGAGTAGATTATTAGGGACACAGGTCAGTACATTCAGTTGGCCTAACTAACCAAATAAGGGGAAATGTAATATTGCTATGTAATTGGCCATTTGATAGGGAAATCCATATCTTTTTTTGCGGGGAGGGACCACCTATATAAGAAGCTGGCACATACTATTAACAATCAAGCAATATGAAGAAATCACATGGTAGTTACTCCGTTGTGAACTAGCTTTATCTTTTGCAAAAGTGAACTAGGTTTATGCCATGATTTTTCAAAATTAGCAACAAGAAAAACTCACACTGATGCACCGTAGCTGTTAGTACTTTGCTGCAAATAAATTCATTAACTACGATTGGTAATGTACCAGCGTGATCTTTAACAGGTCAATATTGGGCTGCCTCCATTAACAAAAAATTCTCTAAACAAAAAGAAATAGATTTGCTCTAACTGGGAACAGGTAAAAAATGTATTACTCCGTTCTTTAACAACAGGTGGAGCCATTATCGGTTATTAACGAAAAAACAAAGAAATGCTATGAATGAGGTTACCTCCATCCAGAAGAAAAATCCACGCAACAGAGCTAACTGGTTGGGTTTGCTGGTGCTTTCTACACGTACTTGTTTCGCAAGTTCTGAAGTTAAATACAATAAAACGTGTTGATTAATAGTACGACTTGTAAGAATCAGTGTTTCTTGAACAACCGCATAACAGATTACTTCAAACCAGATACCAATATGATTTGCTGCTACTTTCTCGTCTTATTTGGAAAGATAACTTCTCAAGCAAAAGATAGTCATTTATTATAGCAAATAAAATAAACCTTTGGACATGTGCTGAAAGCTAAGTTACTCAATTTTAATTCAACACAGCGCGTTATCAGTATAGTTCTCCACAACAAACTATTTCTATTTCAGGTATTTGGCAAAATTGCTCCAAAATCCTCTCACAGGAAAGCTGGACTTCTGCGCCGACATGTTGTGTTGTGTAATTGCTCCAGAACCACTTTTCTTCTATCAATTTATTGAGATGCAAGCTTTGTATTTTACCAAAGAAGAAAATAAGAATTATATGAAAATTTGCGCAATACAATTATGAAAATGCCACAATGCTTGTTGTTCCGAAGTCCTGCTAATTACCTAAGCGTACAGGGGTTTCAAGTGTATCTATAGAAAGTGTATGTTCACCATAGATTCAAGCAATCCGTCAGCAAGATATTTTGGACATAGATTTAACAAGCTTGTAAACCAATATATCACCGAAAAACACAATGTTGGCTTGCAAATTTCAAGGTTCAAAAGGAAATGTCAATCGCGAGCAAAGACAACCACAAATTGTTTCTTAAATAACAAGGCAGAGTGTTCATTAGGCATGGAAAATGATTCTGATCCTATAATCATTATGCATAAAAGTTACTTTAGCCATGTGGTCGCAATAATTCCCAGAAAGATGTTTCAACATAAAAATAATAAGGGGAATAGTGCATAACAGAAGTCCAATGAACAAAAAAAGTATGTACGTAGTATAAAAGCAAGCATACCTGGGTAACCATCAAAATATGATGGTTGCCTTTCATTTTCAGAGTTGTAGTACTTCACGCCACCCCGTGTTTGCCTTTTCATTGTTGCCAGAGGGCGAATCATAGCCTTGTCAAGCAGCGTATCAAATTCTCCCTGGCTAAATGGTTTGCGGAGAAGACGCATCAACTTTTCCTTGAATTCAGAATCTGGCCTCTCCATGATATGGGTTGGCCATACAACACCATGTAATTCCTGTGACACATGTGGTAAGCAATTCAAAGTATTCCAAAAAAAAAACATCATGTAATTCCTGTGAAACAATGAATTTACCACGATTTATGAGTATGCTGAATATGAGAATTATTATTTAAAAATCTCTCATAATAATAACTAAAACCAGCAATATAATGAAATATTTGAAGGATCATTTAAACCCAAATATTGTTAACTGAACCATATACACTTTTTCAGCAAATATGCTATGCATACTATGGTATGTACTATGTATGGATAATTTTCCATTATTTTGTCAATGTTAGTGTTAGTGCTCGTCTTTACCATCGGAAAAACTTGTTTCCTTTTTGCCATTCCTGAATTCACACGGGCTAGGGCTAGGCTTTGCAAACTCACGCTGAGTCCTAATGTGAGTGTAATGTTGCAGGTATCTGGTGGGAGTATATGTTCAGATTTCCGTATTCAACGGAGAACTCTTTGTCATTTATGTGTATATTCACTCATAAATAGTGCATCGTCAAACATTTGTCATAATTTATCCAAAGTTGTCTCAATTTTATAAAAACAACCTATTTGTTGTCACACCCCAAATGATTGTTGTTGTGGCCTTAAATTCTCCATGGAGCATGGGAAATAAATAGCAAACATATAATGGTATAAGCAAGTCATAACTTGGCAGCAGAGGACATGCTAGGAACCCTATGAGACCAAATAGGGAATGGATCAAAAGCTAATCTACCACGAGGCATTTCCAAGATTGACATTATAATTTTATACTATGTTGACAATTGGGTCAGAGCTCTGGTACTCGGTAATTAAGAAGATGTGTACCGAACGAGGTCGAAAGACTGAAACTTGGGTGACTGCAATTATTTCGAACTCGAGTCAAATCTCCACCCTGCCAGATAGTTGACTACTAGTTAGGCCTTCTAGACACGGGATTTAGGAAGGAATGATGAAGGTTTTCAAGTCATATAGTACATATTTAGGATTAATTTTAGTGAGCATTACACATATTGGCATAATTTGAGCGACACAAGATGAATAATGACTATATATCTCCTGGGCTAGGGTTTATGACACTTGGGTTGTGCAGTAACTTTCTTGTACCTTAGAGTGACATCTTACGGAAGTGCAACTTTATGGGTAGATTTAACGGGATTTTTTTCTCGAATATGCACAAGCATGCGTATCATGTATTAAAGAAGAAAAGCAAGATGGCCCATCCATGTCCATGGTATCGCTACATTATGCTTACAATGCTTTGCACTCCACATCTACCCTTACCCTTAGCATGAAAGTGGACTACTCGCTCTGAACCCACCTAGTCAACGCCCCAAAGTAGGGGTCTAGTTCTCCTTTTAATATACCGGCCAGCCTCCACACTTGACCCTCGGTAATCATCCTACTTATCACATGTTGTATCGAGGGTGTTGCTCCATCAAACACAATTGCATTTATGTGCTTCCATAGTTCCCACATGGTCAAGGTGAGAATGGCTCGTATGTCTCTTGGTTTGTGCCCAACACCAACCATGCTGACGCACCATTTGTCAAGTATGTCGTTTGTCCACAATGCCTACCTTGGCATGCCCAGGGCTCTACTGATTTCCCACCAGACAGTTCTCGCGAAAACAGAGTCCAGGAGAATGTGGTTGATTGTCCATCTTGTTGAGCACAAACGGGCATGTATCTTGATGCGGTAGTCCTCCCCTGCTAAGTCTGTTGGATGTCTAACTACTGGTCCTTGGGGCTATCCGCGTGAAGAGGCGACGTTGCAAAGGCGCATTGGATTTCCAAGTGAATTCCGCTATGAGTACGGCGCCCCCCCCCCCCTGCAAACTTAGTGGCATAAGCAGATCTCACCATTCTTCTCCCAGGACTAAGAGATGGTGTCCGGAGTCTCAGGAACTAACTGCACCACTGCCACTCTTGGCCATACCGCCAAGTACTCTAATAACATGGCCAAGTCCAGGTTGGGGCCCACATCTCATGATCTTGTTGCGTCCAATAAGGCAGCCCTGACCATTCGAGTAGATTTTAACCTCTGAGGAACCTTGGAGTATAGGTGGGGTGCCATATCTTCCATTCTCATCCCATCGAGCAATTGTTCTTCCTGGAAAAGGTGGTGCTCCCATCACTGGTAGTCGCCAGAGTGGTTGCTCCGAATATTGCTAGGGATTCATCCGGTATGGCGATTTTAAACTCCTCCCAATGTCTGCCTTGATCCACATGGTGACCAAGGCCATCAAGCTTGCATGGCAATGCTAAACTATCTCAGGTTGGGGATGCCCAGACCACTAACACACCTCAGGGCGCAGACTGTCTCCCAAGACACTACACAACTACCACCACTCGCATCCTTCTTCCCACACCAGAAGAAGTTTCAACAAATTCTGTTTAGTGCCACCCAAGTTTTCGAAGGGAATTCAAGAGCGAGCATAGAGTGTACCGGAATTATATCAAAGTACATGGAGGATTGGGAAATTACTTATTTCATATGCCTAAAATTAATATGTTCCTTTGTCTATGGTGCATTATGGTATGGACTTAGGATGTGTTTCTATCAACATTGTAGTTTTATCCCCCTAATATGTGGAAGTAGCAATTGTCAAGGACCCACTCTCAAGTTGTTCCGATTTGGCCATGCATATTAATGCCAACATTGGTACAATCATAATATGGACATAGAGTTGTGAAGCATCATTTCGCCCCAAAAAAGGTATGAACAATGAAGTGTATGAGATCGCTAGCACGATCATACAAAAACTTGGTATATGTTAAATACTAGCTAGTTCTGCTAAATGAGGCCATAACTAAACAATCTTTGACTTCAAACTAAGCAGCATCTTTATTTGGAAAAGGGCCCCCTCGAAAGAATCAACCAAGGAGCTTTTGAACTACGTAACTAAGCCTACCTAGAGGACCACACATAACCACCGCTCATGATGGCCCCATGACAATGTTTACAGATCAGATCCTACCCACATTGGAGTTAGTGAGCACGTAAGCACAAGTATAAGCCATCCTTTGTATCCATGACAGCTTTAGCTTGCATAAGAAGCAAGCGACTGCGATAAGTTCATGTATGTGTGTTGATAGGTTAATCAAATAGTAAAGCTAGGGTTTATCACTAGGACATGAAAGTTCATTTTCAATGCATTGTACGTAGTTTTGTACAATTATGTAAGCATGATTATCATCAACAGACCCATCCATGTATGCATGCCAACAACCCATGTTATGCTGACCTTGACCGCTTCGGCGGAGCCTTGGGCCTGCGCTAGCTTTGGTTCCAATGGAACAACCCGGAGCGCCCTTGGGTCGGTTCGAACCTGCCTTGCAGTGACTTGGACATGGATCCATTTCATGCCTCTACCACAATCACCGTTTGCGATGGCGTGTAGACAAGTTTTTGAAAAGATTACTGTATTGGGTATTCCGCACTTTGCACCGTGCCCCAGAGCTTTTCAAGATTGCAACTAGGAAGATCAGGACGATGAACCAGGGTCTCCAGGGGATAAGTGGATAACAGTTGTCGTAGGCCTTAACACCCCGACGCAACTGCGTATGGATGGCCTCAGATGAATTCTTGACTAAATTTGTGTATAAGATACCCTTGGCCATGTGCAGCCTTTTCGTATTGGGAAGGTTTGGAAGGAAACAACCACTCCCAAATGCAAGCTTTCTACTTGGCTCGTGTTGCATGGTAGAATCCTGATGACGGCGGATCTGGCAAATAGGATTTGCCCCATAGCCCGGTTTCACTTATGCTTAGCGACCAATGAGACACCGTGCCACCTTTACAAGGATTGTCCCTTCTCAAAGGACGTATGGAAGGCGGTGAATGTCAAGACTGCCATGTGTCCCTGATGATGACGAAAAACCCTAATCAATCTGTCAACAATTTGTGGGAGGAATACCTGGCTATCCCTTGGGAGCAAAGTTTGAAGGTGCAAAACAAGAATTTGATCTACACCCTATGGAATGCCTGGAAAAAGAGGAATCGCCGGGTTTTCGATGGACAGGGAATGATTTATCAGGTCGTGGCGCACCTAGCCCTAGCAGATATCCGTGCACAATTCTTGTAGTTGCCTCCTTCACGAATAGTGCACCTGCCTCAACTATACTTCCCAAAATAGTCGCTTGTAAAAGCAGTTGTAAAATAACCATGTTCTTGTAATTGAAAGCCGACAGCATTGCCAATTACTCGAAAAACCTACCATATCCAATAGACTACTAGATAGTCTGACTAGGCGCTTGTAAAATTCAAGAACCAACATATCCATGGTATGTATCCGAAGAATTCCAAACAACAAGATAAAGGAAAGTATTTTGAATAAAGCAATCTATTTTGATTCTCCCAAAATAGACGTTACTCTAAAGTCTACTTATGATCATTTTCAGGCGGACTGAGCATAAGTCGAGCAGATCTCCGAAGTTGTGGCTTTCTGTTGTTGCCAGTCTGGAAGTGCGACAAAAATCAGGATCACATATTAATTCATTACTTGAAACTTTGAGAGAAGAAAAAGGAAACCACACGACTATGTCATAAAAATGTAGATTGGTTAGAAGCGAACATGTAATGTTTTAGAATTCCATCAGAAACACAACTCTAGTTTTTGATTCGTCTAAAAAATTCTACTTGCCCTATGTGCCTAGTCAAAGTGTGCCGAAAGAAGCAAAGCACCATGAGTTTAATATGTTTACTAGGATACTAGAGAGTATTTTGCTCCATCCAAATCAGCACAAATATAGTTGCATGATATTTATTTGAGGCAGCTCAAAGCATGACATGGCTCGTGCCAGTCCTCCCTCCATAGATCACTTTCTTGAGGTATATATAACAACGATCCACGCTTGCACCAAAGGCAGCAAGTGAAAACATCATTAAACAGATCCTTGATGCTAATATTTCTTTATTGCTTTAAAGAGTTATCATGTGTTGATATTACGTTTAAGAGGAGAAAAATACAAAGTAGAAAAAAATAGTCAAATGAATTCTATTTAGCCAAATAATTTTCATTTAGTTTTAGTTTGAAATGCATCTCTCTTCTTTAGTTCTCCCTTTGTTCCAATGAATAAGGCCCACGCGCAATCCAAAATTCAACTTTGACCGTGAATGATGCTCCATATTTATGTGATTTAAAATGCAGTATTGTAGTTTTCGGACATGTTGTAGGAAGCATCAATATCAGCTAGGCACATTGGTACAAGATATACATATTGATCGACTATTATGTGGTACAAGATACATCTACCAACAACCACATATATAAATTTATAAACCACATATCTACATCTACTAACAAATAGTGCAGGCTGAAAAAAAATGCATAGGAAATTCTGGCTGAA